AACCTGCGAAGCCATGGCGTGGGGTTCGGGCCCCGAAAATTTTTGAGAGAAGATCTTGTAGGCCCCTATTTTTGTAATTAAAGAAAAAAATCAAAATTACATTCACAAGTAAGTTTCAAATTAAGAAATTAAAGTGAAGAAAAAAAATCCTTTTGCTTCCGATTACATGCCTTTCAAAATAGCGTCAATAGATCGGAAAAATTATTTCCCCAATTTTTTTGGGGTGCTGATTTATAATGGAGCATCATAGAGCAAGGAATCATGTTTATTTTGTGCCTGGATTATTTTCATTTGCGCCACGAAAATTATTAAGACTGGCCATTTAAAGTGATTAAAACTTGCCTCGCCTAATAAAAAATATTTTTGAGGTGGGTGATTCCACTATATGCTTAACATACATCACGGCCGCTGGCGCCGCCGACATTCAGTCTGGCCGGCCGTACATCGCGCCGTGCTCACGGCCCAGTATCAGTGTGCATTACTGTACTGTGTACGGCCCATTCCACGTGGCCGAAAATCTTGCACTACTGCAGAAACACGCTACGATGTTACGCCACGAGTTCGAGCTTTGCAATCTCGTCATTTTAACGGAAAACACTAACAAAGAAATAAAGATCACGTTCTGTGAATTCATTCGCAGAAATTCTCTTTTTCCATCGATGTTTGTTTGGTATTTTTACGATCCAACTTCGGCCGACGGCACAACATCATCGTGGTACGACGTTTGTATAGGCAGTAGTCACTGGTTCCGGTCCTTCATTATAGTGTTGATTCCGTTAGCACGCGAAGGGAACCAGTGCACCATGCTGTATGCGTTGCATGCCTGTCAGCTGGCAGTCGACATAACCCGTCATCGTGTGCATTTTGATCACACATGCATCACAAAAACAGGATTTTTGTCAAGATTTTGCATGTCAAGATGAAATAATGGCGTATGTAACGATTACATGTATATTGTATTTTTTTTGGTTGGCCTTAATTCTTTTGAAAAAAAAAGGTTTAGACAATAATTTAGATAAACAGATAAGATTAAGCGGTGGGTTTCTCCAAACTTATGAAACTTATGTAGCAAGTGTTTACTGGTAATTGCATGACCAGAGACTCAGTTATTGCCATATTTAAACTGAAAGAATATTATTTAACTGAGTTGATATTATTTAAGAGCCAGACAAAATAATTTGCAGACAAACCCTCCCTTAGTGATCTGACTTTTGGGTTTTTATGGGATTTTTTTTTTTTTAGAGTTTACATTTCTGTTAAAAAGGTTACTCTGAACAGTTTAACATCTATTATTTCCACAATGATTTACCCCAACTGTCTTTTCTAAAATTTTGAATGAAGGGGAGGATATACTTTTATCCTGCTCTGTTCAGAAAGATTTACAGGAGAAAATATGCACGGGTCCAATTGCCCAACTATTCAAAGGGTAGGTTTGCACTTTGCACCAGGCATGCAACTTTTCCTTGGTTCAGCTGATTTCCTCTTTTTTTACTTCCCATGTGTGCCATTGAAAATAGAAAAACACTGTACAAAGTCTGGGAAAAATTTGAATTTCCTCATTTTTTGTGATTTCCCAGTTGCATGCCTGTTGCACATTTACAGCCCGATAGTCTGGAGGTTCTTTTAAAGTTGAAGGGTCATTAGTCCGAAGGTTCGTTAGCCCAAAGGTTCAATAGTCAAAAGGTTCGATAGTCCGAAGGTTCGATAGGCCAAAGGGCCCATTAGTCGGAAAACAGAAGAAGGTTATAATAGTTCGAAGGTTCGATAGTCCGAATAGATGATAGGGTTCGATAGTCTAAATCGACAATATTAAGGTTCGATAGTCAGAATGGAGGATAAGGCTCGATAGTCCGCATGGACAGTAGGCGGTTCGTTTGTCCAAATTGACAATAGGACCTTACTGTTGATTCGGACTGTTGGACCTAATTGGCAATTCGGACTATCGGACCTTATTTTCAATTCGGAATAATGAACCGTCGGACTAGTGAACCTTATTTTCGTTTCGGACTGTTGAACCTTCGGACTCATGAACCTTCGGACTAATGAACCTTCGGACTATTGCTTCAAATGTTTGGATTTACAATCCTTTGGACTAACGAACCCCCTCTTATGGAAATTTTGTGCATACGGACTATCGAGCCTTCGGACTATTGTACCTTCGGACTATCAGGCGGCCCCCGTTTTGAACACCCAAGGGGCGCATAGCAGGGTGCTATGTGCCCCTCGGGTGTTCAAAACGTCATATCCCACATCACAGCAGTCAACAATGCAACGGACTATCGGGCGGACATCGTTTTCACTTAGGTGTCAGAAATACATGCCTTTCCATATTGCAACCCTTTTGTTTTGTACCGTAATTAACATATTTCTCCATTTCCCAAGGATTTCAGTGTAATTGTTTTGGGAGATAGCTGGGGTCCCAATATACACATTTCCCCCACCCCCTAAATTTGCTGTTAATTTAAGTAATATTTCAGGGTCCTCGTCAATTCTTACTGGACTATGAACAGGCTTTATAAGTTCAAGTTCCGTTGTATTCAAGGCAAGACTTTTTATGTTACAAAAATCAAGTCATGCAAGTGTCAGCTGTAAAGCCAATGGTTTTTCAACCATACTACCTTACCCCCAAAAGTCCTCCAATGCCAACAAGTTCATTAGAAATTGCTGCACTTACTGAAAAAAAAAGGTTGCAGTAAAAAAAAAAAACTTGAAGAAGGAAAATGTATATTTCTAGGGATACAAGGAAAGAAAAAAAAAATAGAGATCTCTGTCTGTTTGCAACAGAACATAGGGCTTTTCCGCATTATGGGTTTTCTTTTAATGAGGTTATGCTTTGTACCTTTTGAACTCAGTTTCATTAATTATTCGCTGTTGTTTTTGTTCTCCAGATTTTGGACTAAATGATTGGAAGGTCAGTGTTTCAAAATTAATGCCTGATGAGCATGAAGATCAGACCATGAAGATAAGACCATCCTTTATAATATGCGTTGTAAAAAAATTGCATATTGATGACGTCATCGTGATGCCACATACCAGTACACTGCAATAATTTTTTTTTTTGAATTGAGCATGTTGCATCCCTGAGATACGGTTATTGATGTGAATAATTATGTATTAGTGAAGGCGTCTATCACGTAGAAATATCAAACGCTTGAAGCTTGGTCATGATTTCATACAAGTATTGCATCGCATGCGTTGAAGTAGCGAAGAATGCAAAAATACTAACATCCACTTAAAAGCTTGGTCATGATTTTATAAAAGTATTGCATCGCATGCGTTGGAGTAGCGAAGAATGCAAAAATACTAACATCCACTTAAAAGCTATTTGGCCAGGGTTGAACCAATAGTACGGCAGGAGAAATGGGTTCCCATGCACCCCCCCCCCCCCTAAAACAACATTCCAAGATGATTTTTAGAATCCCTAGACCATCTGATTAAAGAATTTTGATGTTATTCGCGAAAAAAGTCCCATGATGCCCTTATTTGCAAATTACCAAGATGGCTGCCGTGCGAATAATTAAAACACTAAGTTTCATATGTTGGTAACTAATGAGCCAATTTTGATGATCTTGGTGTCAAAATTATGGATTTTTGGGCTGTTGAATCAATTGTTGAGGTTTTTAAAATAACTGGAGGTCAAAATCACGTGATTTAGGTGAAGGTCAGGGTCATTTTGGTAAAAACAATACGTCATTTTCATTTTCCCACGGGCATTATTTTTTACCTCGTACCCGTAGATATGGTGATAGAGGCCTACTAATTGCTATATATTTCTGCTTCCGATTACATGCCTTTCAAAAACAGGGTAGGTACATGTACATGTAGGTCGGAAATTTGTTTTTGCCAATTTTTGTTGTGCTCATTGAATGGGGTATTAAATTATGTCAATTATACGCGAACTTCAGCCTGAACTATTTCCATTGCACTACGAAAGCTATACATAAAAATGGCCACAAGAAGTGTTTGTGGTTGATTATTCTCAGAAATACTGGAAAATTCAGGTCGTGTATATCGCGTCGTAAGCGTGCGTGATGTGCTAGTGTGGCAGGTGAAGATCCTTTTGCTACATTAGGACATTTCAGGGAAACACGCTGCATTGTATCACTCCAAGTACGAGCAGTTCAACCTCGAAATAAATTCACGAACACAGTAAATACATACACAGACAAGAGTGGTCAAGTTCTGTGAATTAACTTGCAAAAATCTTCTTTCTCCATCGGTGTTTTCTTGGCATTTTTATGATGTCTTATCTGACCTGCAACTGCAGTGCACTGCTGCCATATGCATAGACTGGTTACTGCATTCTCATCATGCCTTCTTTTAAGTTCTTTGGCCCTTTAAGTGCGCGCCGTGGCGGGAATCAGTCATTGCTGCAGAAACGGAGGGGATGGTAATATTGTGCTTTCCTGTCTCTGTCCCTGTGGTGGTTTGTGAAGTTTGTCCTGTTTTCTAGGTTTGGACTTGTGGAGCACTCTCTCAAGTGAACTTTTGCTTCGAAAATAAATCGCAGATCCACGCTTTCATTGGGAACTTCACATCACATGGGAAGTGCGTACTGAAAATATTTACGACGAAAGTGTGGATCTGCGATTTATTTTTGGTAAACACGTCACCCACGGACACATTTACTTTTTTTAAACCAAGCATCTTTGCAATTCTGGACACAAGGAATATGTAAAAGAAATTTCAGCTTCCTCCATCAGGTAAAAATATGTAAAAAATGTGTTGCAATTTCTTTCGCTATGGCAGCAAAGTTCATACCCTAGACGTCAGTCGTAATGCAGTGAAGACGTCCAACCTGGCTAATTCAATACATGTACTATACATGTACATACACATAACTTTGAAACAACTGCTGATCTGAAACTCACACATCTTTTCAGCCCTTAAAACATCTTCAACAATAAAGTTCAAACAAATAGCCATTCCTAATCTATGATAATTAAATTAAAACATGACAATAAAGATAACTTTGATCATACCTGTGGCAGAATTAAATGATGGAAACGGTAAGCGAATGTTTGGGCCTGACAACTGAAACAATACACTATTAATTGAGTGCATTGCCAACAGCACCCTCTAGCTCTGTTGTCATGGCAATAGTCATTACATTTTATTTTTATTTAAGAAAAACGTTCTGAAAATTAAGAATAATTTTTTGTATTGGACAATGCATCAAGAAGAACACTTGGCAAGAATTCTTGTCTTTTAGTGTTGAAGATTTTAAAAATGTAAAGAAAACTATTTCTGGCCATAACCAGATTTTCTTGATTAATTTATTACAACAACATATAGAAATTGCACTGTTTTAAGAAAGAAAATTGTCTTGTGCTTTTGGAACAGGAAAGTTTTCTTGTGCTAAGAAAAACTTTCCCACTCAAGAAAATCACTTTTGGTATTGCTTGAAATCATATTCTCAATAAAGAAAAATTGTCTTAAAATAAGGAAAATATTCTTGAAATTGGAAATTGACTAAGAAAAAAAAAAGAACTCATGTGTAACGAGCCGAGCAGGCCGGGGCATTGCAACCAAAGAAAACACACGGTGAGCAAGACAGACTTCGGGGGGCGCCTCTCCAGATTTTAGTTTTATAATATAATAACACATATAACTATTTACAAAGATAAACCAAGAGTAAATTAATAAAAACAGATACATTATAATATTGGGTGACACTTATAAATTATAAAACCAGTGCAGGGGCATGCATTGGCTGGAGGAGAGCACACAGCAAACGGAACCTCAACATAACAGTATGACAACCAAAAAGAAAAAGAAAGAATGACCAACGCCCAATTGCCCGCACCGGACTTATATACCCATATGGTGCACCCGACCAGAAAAGTATCAAAGGAATTTAACAAATGTGTGGAGTGTAAACACTGTGTTGCACTTGGCGTACTGTGTCTTTGTAACACATGTAAGAACAATTTCTTAATGTTTTAAATATCCAAAATTTTAAGAAAATTTTCCTTTCCAAAATAAGGTTTTCTTATGACATTTCTCAGAACAAGAATTATTTTCTTTCTTCAAGAATTTTTTTCTTGCTTAAGAGATTCATTTATGGCTGTGCAACCAATGAAAATGAAAAACTTGTAACAGAGAACGTCATGATTGGATGTATGTTTGGTTCCTGATGCACATACATTGTACAGCAAGTTTTTATTATCTGCGGTCAGGCGGTCCAGGCCTCCTAAAAGATTGTTGAATTGGATTATAAAAAGAAAAGCTCCTAGTTGCTAGCCATATTATAAGATCCAGACAAAACACATGTTTGGCACAGAAACTGAAAAGTTGTTACTTTGTTTTAGTCGACACTTGTGCTTGTGCCAGGACGAGTAGAACAACAAGTAGCACAACGAGTAGCACAACCTACTTGCGAGTAATTGGGTACTTGCCCAGCGGGATCGCTCTCCATTAAATTATTCAAAGGATTGCACCTATCCCTAAAAACCTGCTCTCTCCTCAATGCCCATCTTGCTTCACGATCTACAAAGAGCATGAGCGCCATCTTCAATCCTGTGATATGTTTGTGCGCAGTTACGACGACCCAAAGACACGTCGTACATGTAACTTATGACATATTTCAAACCATTGGATTGGACGATGCGTCGCGAGTTGCGATGCATCATAGCGCCTCTAGAAATCAGGTGCTGAATTTTGCTGAGGACAACAATTTTATTAATCAATGTTTCCTGCTTACCAGCTCAGTCAGATTGAGCCCCAATAGAAGGAAAAAATGCACACTATTTCAATTATTTTTTCTTGGTTGAACAGTACCACAAGTTATCTCAAATGTATGCAAGGCCTCCTTGGGAATGAGGACAATGTGCTCCAACCAAGACAACTGGGCAACCTTGCTGGTGGTTCTATTCGTTGGAAAAAAATTGTGGTCACCTGTGATGAAAGGTGATATTTGATGATGATGATGTTACTTGTAAATCCCCTTCCCCCCTTTTTTATTTTTTACAGTACATAGTACAGGATGTTCGCAAAGCTTTTGTAGTGGAGAACATCTGGCCTGGCATCCAAGCAAACTGCCTATATGAGGACCGCTACCTAATGGGAACTGCCCTGGCCCGACCACAGATAGCCAAGGGATTGATAGAATGCGCAAAGCAAGAGAGCGCTCAATACATCTCCCATGGTGCAACAGGAAAAGTGCGTAAGCAATGCTCAGTTGTGTGTGTTGTACTTATTAAACAGTTGACCTGTGTATAAGAAATTAAGAAAAGAAAGAAGTAAGTGAAAGACCTCGACCCCCCTCCTCTACAATCCCTTACCCATGCCCCCTTCTTCCTCCCACAATCCCCTACCCATCTCTCCCCTCCCCCTTCCCCTACAATCCCTTCCCTATCCCTACAATTCCCCTTACCATCCCCAGTTATTTTTGCTTGTTTGTGTGTTTTATATTTGAATGATACAACAGTCTCAGATTCTTCTTATAACATTTATTTAATCCATTTAATCCTTTTTTATTTCTTCCTAATTATGAAGTGCTTTTTATATTGAATGTTTACTAGTTTTAAAGTTCTTCATTGTAATGCCATTTCAATTCAGCTTTTGGGCTGCAATAGTGGCTTTAATAAACCAGAAGAAGAAGAAGAAGAAGAAGAAGAAGAATGCGAAGAATAATAACAACGACAACAACCGACAACAAACGACGACGACAAGGACGACAAGGACGACCATATGAATTCCTTTGGGGAACTAACCCACCGGGCCGGTTTTTATGTGCAACCTCTATGAGAGAACGCGGCGAAAAAATCATTAAAAACGGGCCTTTTTTTCACATCTGTCGCCACCACTTCATTATTCGACAGGGTATACCTTAGATCTCACTACAGTGTGACCCTAACAATATACTCTTTCAGAAAATGAAAGAAAAACTGAATAAAACACTGAGTTTCACTCGCGAATTGATGTTAAACAAGTCAAAAATCTCCCTGTTTTGTGTGTAAACCACGCGTTCAGCCAAGAACTGGTCCATTAACATCATCATAACGTTAAATAGCGCCACCTGGGAGCTTAGATCTCTCGAGTCATTTTTCTTCGTCTCGTCAGCCTTTCAACAATATAACCCTTATTGTGATGGGTTAATGTTTAGGCTCGCGTGTATTCATTTACTAAAGAATTGTACATCTAAACTCCAATAAAATTTGCCGTTGCTCAATGGCTCAGCGCGTAGGGTCTGTTTATTGTACACGTGCTAGGCAGCGCTACTGTATATACACAGAGCCCGGGAGCTCTTATCTCTATGTGTCCAAGGTCATCTGGCTGTGCGCTTTGGCCAGTTTACATGGGGTCCTTTTGACCATAAAGGATTTGATATGAACGACAACACGACGATGACACCAGGACGACACCACCACACCACAACACAACACAACAACACAAAACAATAATAATAATAATAATAGAGAAAAAGCTCTACTCCATCAAAAAAGATGCGACAAAATTCAAGAAAGAGCTTGACTGTCCTGAAATCCACCCATCAGACAATGAAGTATCTACGATGTACGCCAGACGAGTTAAGCAGAAAGCAAAAACCAAGGGTCAAGAACAACTTCTGAAAACCTGGGAAGACAAGGTAATGCACGGAAAGTATCCCAAAAGGACGAGAGATGCAGATGTAGACCAACAGAGGACATTCCAGTGGCTCAGAAATACTGGACTGAAAGCAGAGACGGAGGGCCTAATCATTGCCACCCAAGATCAGAGTCTTGCCACAAGATCATTTCACCATCACATCATCAAGGATGGAGTGGACCTACAATTCAGGATTTGTGGTAAATACGAAGAAACAGTTGATCACATTGTTTCTGGTTGTCCGGAACTAGCGAAGACAGAGTACATACATCGACATAATAAAGCAGCAGCATACCTTCACTGGAAGATATGCAGCAATTACAATATTAAGACGACAGGGGAGAGGTACAAACACCAGCCGACAACAGTCACTGAAAATGATGACGTCACCATCCTCTGGGACATGCCAATTCACACCGACAGGGAGGTGAAAGCCAACAGACCTGATATCATCATCAAGGATAAGAAAGAACAGAGGTGTATACTCATAGACGTCTCAATACCGTCTGAACGAAACACCTCTGTAAAAGTAACTGAAAAACTCTCCAAGTATAAAGACCTTGAGATCGAGATTAACTGGATGTTGGGGATGAAAACAGAAACAAAACCGGTGGTCGTCGGAGCTCTAGGACTAGTGAAGAAGGGTCTGGATAAATTCATCGACCGTATCCCAGGCAACATTAACATCAACCTAGTCCAGAAGATTGCACTCCTTGGAACAGCCCACATCCTAAGTAGAATACTGTCCATTAAGTAACATCTAAGTTCCCTCTAGCGCCTCAGCACCCGATTTCATCAAACTCTTCGTAACTTACGATGCATCGCAGCGCTGCGACGCGTCGTATCTCTACGATGCGTCGCAGCTGCGACGCGTCCTGCGATCCATTTCACTAAACACGTCGTAAGTGTGACGCGTCGTAGGTGTATTTATAGCACAACTCGGTGACTGTTTTATGTCTTTAGTCAGCGTACAGTAAATAGTCGTCTGATATTCAACAAAGAGTCGTCGGATCTCAGGCCGTGTCCGAAACGGGCTTCCAGAGCTACGGCTACCTCTATTGTCAGCCCGTCCCCGCGTATCTTCAATTGGCATGGACCTAGACCTAGCTCTATACAATTGATTCGGACGCAGCCTGTGCTCGAAATTTGTTAAAACGTAAAACAAAATGGCGGCCGTGCGATGCAATTTTGAAGGAAAACAAGCTCTCATTGGACTGTATAGCTACTTTGAAATTTCAACTCTAATATTCCGGTCTAATTCATAATTATTCAATGAATTTTCTATTTTCATTGCCTCGGTATTATAATCTCGTTAATGTAATTTTTGTGGCATAAAACTGGCTTAGAAATGACTCTTCTTATTTTGCGACGACCACTAGACACGTCGTAACTTGCGACGTGTTTTAAGCCGTTGTCAAGGAACTTACGAAGCGTTCAACACATCGCAACTTTAGTGAAATGGAAGATACGACGCGTCGCGAGTTGCGACGTGTTACACGTCGTAACTTGAGTTGCGACGCGTCGCAGCGCTTCGTGAAATCGGGTGCAGGTCCATAGTCTGGATCCGGCTCTATAGGATGTACATTAGATTGCATAAAGAAAGATTTGTATAACAATAATAAGTGTTGTCTGTATGTAACTTCAGTGGAACCAACTGTTCTATTATAACAAATTATGTCAACTCTTGATACCTACAAAAATATATGCCTTTCTTATGTGCATGCACAAGCAATTCTGCTGACAATATTAAAACAAAAGAAGATTGCGTCACCACACGCACACACTGCATGTCCCAGAATCCTATTGGTAACTTGCTTTTTTTTCCCCCAGCGCGCGCTGCACACGTGTTTATTTCCAATAGTTCCACAACATGTCAGATCCTACTAAAACTAAGAGAAGGACATTTAGAAAGACCATATCCTGTGAAGATCTCCGTCCCCACTAAAAGTTCGACATTCACACAACATGCTTAACATCACTAATGACTTTACTGGTCTTCATCATGAACTGAGGGAAACTTTGAAAAATGATGTTACTACTGATGAGAAAATAAATATTGATGTTAATGTTGAAAAATCACTGAAGGGATTGAAGACTGGCAAATCTGCAGGCCCAGACAGACTCAGTGGCAAGGTTTTGAAATCTTGCTTTAGAGAACATGCTCCAGTCTTCAAGGACCTTTTTCAGTGGTCTGTGGACACTTTTACAATTCCTCAGTTATTCCTCCTGTTGCAAAAAATCCAAACCCACCATGTTTAATGATTACAGGCCTGTGGCTCTAACTGCCATTGTCATGAAGTGTTTTGAACGAATTGTGAAAGATTTGATTGTAAATCAAACAAAACCTTTTATCGATCCCCTGCAGTTTGCCTACAGAACGGGACGTAGCCTCGAAGATGCCATTCTAAAATTGTTGCATGGCACTTACAGCCACCTCGATCGGCCCAAGGCATATGTTAGGACCCTTTTTGTGGATTTTTCTTCAGCGTTTAACTTGATCCAGCCCCATGTTCTGTTAGGCAAACTGCAAACTGAGAGGGATGTATGTAAATCCATACTTGTTCTTATGGATTAATGAATTCTTGACAAATAGGCCACAGAGAGTAAGACTGATGCAGTCTGAGTCTGATACTGTCTATACCAATACCGGGGCCCCACAGGGCTGTGTTTTATCCCCAGTTCTTTTCACAATTTATACAAGTGATTTGAGATGTAGCAATGATATGTGTTCTATGGTTAAGTACACTGATGATACGTCATTAACAGGATTCATTAGTCATGATAATGAGACTGGGTATAGAGATGAAGTTGCCAAGTTTGTGCAATGGTGTAAGGAAAACTTCCTGGTTCTAAACTTACAGAAAATTAAGGAAATTGTTTTTGATTTCTGGAAAATCCGAAATGAGATTGTGCCTGTCAACATAAATGGTGTTGATATTGAAATTGTTACCGACCATAAGTACCTGGGAACGTATATACAGTAGATAATCACTTGAATTGGAATGTCAACACTCAAAAATTATGTTCTAAGGCTAATCAGTGAATTTATTTTCTGAGGAAATTGGGGTTATTCAATATCGACCGGGAGATAATCACTATGTTTTATCAAAGTGTCATCCAGTCTGTGATCATGTTTTGTTGTATTGCATGGGTAAATGGTCTGACATTGGATAATTTAAATAAACTTTATAGGATCACTAAATCAGCCAGTAAAATCATTGGTAATACTGTCCAAGAAAAGATCAATCTACGAGGCAGCTGTGCTGGAAAAACTAAAATCTATACTGCTTGACAATACCCAACCGCTGCATACTTTGTTAGTTTTTAACAAGTCCGGCAGACTACGACAATTTAAATCCAACACAAACCGTCATTGCCTGTCATTTGTACCAAGTGCAGTTTCTCGTTTTAACAATAATTTCACCAGATAATGTGTTTTAAGAACATGTACATGTATTGCAGTTTTACTTTGTTAGTTTTTTAACAAGTCCGGCAGACTACAACTTAAATCCAACACAAACTGTCATCGCCTGTCCTTTGTACCAAGTGCAGTTTCTCGCTTTAACAATGATTTCACCAGATATGTGTTTTAAGAACATGTACATGTATTGTAGTTGTAAGCCTGTTATTACACAGTGCTTTATTTCCAGATGCCTTCCCTGCCATTTCCTCCCTTCCAGTTCCCCTCTCTTTATTTTCTTTCTAATTTTCTTTAACCCTCTTATCTCATATTTTTTCCCTATCCGTTCACCTCCACCCCCTCCTTCTCTTGCCCTTCATTGTTCCTTCCCTATACAACCCCTTCTTTTTCCATGTCCCTTTGTTTTGATTAATTTCCTCACTCTTTTCTTTGTGTGTGTGTGTGAGTTTTTTTCCTTTCCTCCTTGCTATTTATCCCTATTTATCATCCAGCTTACCTTCCCCTAACCCTAGGTAGTGGTCCATGTGTGTGTTTTGATGGTTTTACTGTATTTTGGGAAACACTTTTACTATTTAATTTATTGCCTTTTTCATTGAATGTTGTAACGTGTATACTGTACATGTATGTTTATACAGTAAATTCCGGCTAAACCGACATTGTACAACTCGTCAAATCGCTCAAGTCGGCCGTCTGACTAAAGATCCCGATTGTCCGTTATGCATTTCCATTGATTTTTTTTTAAAGTTGGCTTTTATAAGTTGCCATTTTGCTCAAGTCGTCGTGTTACTCTTGGTCCCCTTTCCATAAAAAGCATTACAAAATCCTTTGTGTAAGTCGTCATTCAACAAATCACGCATTGGCATCAACTTCCTGTACTGCGGTTGGCAAAGTGTCGAGTGAAAAGTGGTTTCGCACGGCCCGTGATCGCTGCATGCGTCGCGATATGCATCGTGAGCATATCAATACCAGTACTCCCTCTAGGCTGTACGCATGCGCTCTGTCCATTTTGGGGTCGTCTTATTGATTGACTGCTGCTGCAGTCAATGCATGCATGGTATATGGCGGACCACGCACGCATTTAATTTGTTACTGTACACGTACAATATGTATCATGGTCCGGTTTCCACTATCAATACTCCAAACGTGATGATACAATTCAAGGATTAATTTGCTGGATTCAACTCAAGCATTAAGGACATAATCCAGCGTAAATCGAAGCCAATTAGTGCAATGAATCATGTGTGCAAAAGACCATTTTATAAGTCGGCAAAATGACGACTTACAGCATATATTGGCATTCGCAAAAGTCGTCACAAATTCTCGGGTCCTGAGAGTGCCGGTTTAGCCGGAGTTTACTGTATATTCAAGTTTCTGTATTGTACATGTAGGTATTTGAATTTTTTTGTGCAAACCGAGAGGTAGAATTTCATGCTGGCATGATGATCGAATCGAATCGAATTTATTTTGTGGTTTTGTTGTTATTTCAAAAATATGTAGACGGACATTTTTTGGGGGGGACATACTGTAAATCTGCTGTGTTTTATCTTGAATAGAGTACTGTCAGATCTCATTGTGCGCATGCACAGTTGGAATAGCACACTGGCATTACCTGGCCAATGAAAACAAAAACTGTTCCTGTTTCTCATCTTTAACACAACTTTGCCAACTGCTAACAATAAACTGAATGAATATGTATGGTTAATCCATATTACAGGAACATTTGAAAGGTATATAAAATGAATTGCAACATGTTATTTTTTTTTATGAAAAAAACAAAACAAATGAAAACAAATGGTCAAGTATTTATGTTTTTCCCTGTAGGGTAATGACCAGGTTCGACTTGAGTTGTCTTCCTATGCCCTCCATCCTGATATTGAGGTTTGTATATTTGCTTACTGTGCCATTTGCTGGTATAAATTACTGAGGCCTTGGCCATATTGAAAATTCATGTAGTTTACCATTGCAAATCTAGCATTACTGCAGCTTTTCAAAGATTATAATACAACACCAACTCTAAGAGCCATTACAAGTATCAAATTCTGTACAAACTTGAGTTTAAGTTTTAAACAACGTATCATTTTGCTCCAGTCAATTTATCTGTATTGCCGAATATTCAGTAAAACATTTTTTTTTGGGGGGGGGGGGTTATTTGATGCTCTATGCTGTTATTAACTGAATTAACAAGACAAAGCAAGATTAGTAAGCTATAGGTTTGGGCAAATCCAATCTTTCTGGAGCCAGTTCCGGTTTTCAAAAAAGGTTCCAAGTCGAACCGGGTCCCAAAAAATTCAATGAAAAACATAAGCTCTTGAAATTACATGTAAAAAATAACAATGTCACCTTGAGAGGTCCGTGCTCCATGGATTTCAACGTACAATACATGTTATTCCACTACGTATTTGGCTTCAAATGTGTGTCTTTTTCCTGTGAAACTATGGATATTGTGTTCTTGAAAGCAAGCCTAGCGTTTATTACTTTATTCTCTGTTCCTTGCCCATGATTTTATTTACCGCGACGACCACCATGCCACCGAAAAAATAATGATTCACTATCATGCACAATTAAACACATATGTGTGCTTACACTGGTACCCTGCTTTCAATGTACTTCACACAACCACATGTACTGTAGTGTGGAACCGGTCAACTGCTGAAATCGGCTCTTGAGGACACGGGTAAAAAATACCTGACTCTGATCTGAACAAGTCACGGACAATCTGGATCTCCCGGCTTAAGATGCATGAACATGAGTGTTATCATCTTGCATCCCATTTGTTTATTGCATAACTGCGTGACATATCATTCCATTACAGAAAACGTCTCACCTCTGTCTACCTACATTTGCATATCAGCGCACATGCGCACAAACATTCACTGAAAAGAATAGCGTCCAAACCTCACACTGCCAAAAATATTTTCTTACTTAAGAAAACTTTTCTTGAAATTAGAAAAATATTCTAGATTTAAGATAATTTGTAAGAAAAAAGAAAATGGGCAAGAAAATACTTCTTAAAATATTTAATAAAATATACTTGAAGAAATTGTATCTTTTTTTAAGATTTTTTTTCTCAAAATTATTCTCATTACAAGAACATTTTCTAATTTTAAGAAAATTTCTTACATAAGAAATTTGTTTAAGAACTACGAACTGTGTTTTTCTCATATTTGCAAACTATTTTCTTATTTTAAGAAAATATTTCCTGTTAATAAAAACAATTCTTGTCTTCAAAAAATGCTACACTTCAAGAAAATTATTCTTGCCAAGTGTTCTTTGTTGATGCATTGTACAAAAAAATACTTTCTCATTTTAAGAAAACTTTTCTTGAATGAAATTAAAATTGTATGACTTTGGCCAGAACAACAGAGGGCGCTGTTGGGGGAGTAGCCAACTGAAATTTAAAAGTGTATTGTTTCAGCTGTCAGGCCTGAACATTCACTTATCATTTCCATCATTTTTATTCTGCCAGAGATATGTACAAATGTTAGTTTTATTGTCATGTTTTAACTTAATTATCATAGATTAAGGATGGCTATTTGTATGAACTTTATTGTTGAAGATGTTTAAGGATTGAAAAGATTGAAAGTTGTGTAAGTTTCGGATCGGTAGTTGCAAATGTATGCATACTGTAATACATGTTGAACATTGCACACATAACCCACTAAGCATGAGTGAGATAGCAATTCCTTTTCTTTTATAGAAAGTAACATATAAAGTGGCAGTCACTGATATGACAATTGATTTTTAGATGTTCTTATTCCTCCATGTTAGAAGTGAATCTGAGTTTGGCGATTAGGCTCTGCCCGAGAAGCAAATCTAAGTTTGGAGAATAATGCTCAAAACTAGGTTTGAAGTTCACCAATAAAAATGTATATTGGCCTAGTTATGACAGTGACAAAATTTTTAAATAAAGTTGTAATGTAAGGTGAAAATAGTATTATTGAAATGAGCAAACTATACAGGGTGATTAAAAAAGGTAAGCCTGAAACAAAGGACTTTTATTTGTTAAATATTAACACAATGTCTTCATGGCATCCATTGCTGCTATGATGAATGCATACCTTTGCCTTGAAGTTGTTTTCTTGTAGTAGGAAAACAATTCTCATTAATTTGTACTAAGATTTATGATGTCTTTTCTTTTGGAATCCAAGAAAACCTCAGCAGAAACAAAAAAAACACCCAAGATTACAATTCCAGCTAGGAGTTAATTGTCTTGATTCAAGAAAAGGAAAAAGGTTTTCTTGTGTCATTCCTAATCCTAGAAAATGGTAACAAGAAAATTGTCCTTGCAGGTTTTCTTAAAATAAGAAACATAACTGAGAAAAGTTGATTTCAGGTGGATTGAGCAATATAAATTTTCTTGCAGTTTTTCTTAAAATAAAAAACATACTGAGAAAACTTTAGAAAAAAATTTAAAAGTTGAGAAAGAAACAAGAAAAAAAAACTAGATTTTTTTTGCAATATGAAGGGGTTATATTCTTGATTCAAGAAAAGGAAAGAGGTTTTCTTGTGTCACTCCCTAGAAAATTGTAACAAGAAACATTTTCTTGCAGTTTTTCTTAAAATAAGAAACATAACTGAGAAAAGTTTAGAAAAAAATATTCTTAATTTGACAAAAGTTGAGTAAGAAACAAGAAAAAAAACTAGATTTTTTTTTGCAATATGAAGGGGTTATATTCTTGATTCAAGAAAAGGAAAGAGGTTTTCTTGTGTCACTCCCTAGAAAATTGTAACAAGAAAAATTTTCTTGCAGTTTTTTTTAAAATAAGAAACATAACTGAGAAAAGTTTAGAATTTTTTTTCTTATTTTGACAAAAGTTAAGAAAATTATTTATCCTAAATCAAGAACACTAGAAAAAAAATCTAATAACAAGTTTCTTAAAACAAGAATTGGCCTTTTAGAAATATTTTCTTGTGTCACTCCCTAGAAAAAATAACTTGTTTTAAGTTTTTTTTTCTCAAAATAAGAAATATATTTTTGGCAGTGCACCATCGGTGCCCACTACATGTCCCTTAAATAGCCCTGTGACACAAAGACTCCCCCTAGTTTTTTCAGCAACGTGTAGCGTCAACACGTACAATTTAACCATACTCGCTGTGCTTGTAAAAACATGGCAGACTCCGCAAAAAATAGTAAAATTCAGAAATACTGTTGGCTCAAGTCGTACTCTTCCGGGAAATCAACCTCCAACCAACACTCCAAGCGTGATATTTCCGCCACTTCTAATCCCCGGGTTCGACAGTAGGAAATACCCCAGGAACAGGCACTTCTCTCCAGCGAGAGTCACTGCAAGATTCCCGGAAAATCCTGCACATTCGACAGTCTACAAGAGCACATGAAAGCAGCAGAAGAGATTAACACTCATGCGACCACCCGACCACCGCCATCTTCATCTACACGCAAGTACACACCATGATCAAGCTTTCCAAGCCCTGACATTTTCTCCATCACCTTCAGCACCAAGTGGACTTTTGCATGTATTTTGTAGATTTAAATACATGTATTCTATTATATTCTGACTTTTAGGAATACAAGTAATAAGGTTTAATAATAATAATAATAATAGTATGAATTATTTTAAAAATGCTTTCCATGTAACAAGACATCAAGGTTTGATATACTTTTATTGGGAACACTGTAGAATTAAATGATATGAACTGAAATTTGAAAAGGACTGTACTGCCACGCGATATCGACACATAGTGTACACATGGTGAAGCGTGGCCACGCATCAAAATGGAAAATTCCCAAGAATTCCCAAGACAATGGAAAAATAATCCCAAGGAGTCGCCATACGTACATGTGCTCATCGTGGTTTTACCCAACATGCCAGAGGGCGCACTTTCCTAACCAGTTAAGCGACCTTGCATTTTACCGATGGGTACTCATAGTGGGATTTCTCCACATTCTTAATTCTTTGAAGGATTTTGGGGTTCCTTTCCATTCTATCGTGGATTTTACATCCAGGGAGCTCATCGTCGTGGTATTTCTCCACATTACTCCAGTGACTTAACCAGCAGCTCGACTGTCCACGGCGCTGGGGGATCGACCCGGCGCGCGGACCGCCCCCCGAGCTCTTTTGTGGTTCCAACTCACGATTTCAATTGAACTCGGACGGAGGATTGACTTCGGGCCGATTCGATTGTCTTTGGGATTTCTATATTACTCATTGGAGTCGTCTCCCATGTTTGAGATTGCCTTCTGGGTTTTATCTTCTAATTCCATTTATTCACTGAATATATGATGACAGCCTTTCCATTAGCATCACTCAACCGGCTAAGGGTAAGCTTTTCAGTTTTTCCATCCTATCTGCTTCAACCCTCTTGGTCCTCTACTTAGCACTATTGAGCATGTTCATAGATTTCTTCATAGTCTATCAATTAAAAAAACTTGCTCAGCTGGCCTGTTTATATTCATCAGCCTGTTGGGATTGTTTGTTGATTATTACAATAGACCAAGGATTACTGCCTTACTCTTCCATCTATGCCTCCGGGCCTCAGAGTTGTAATGACTCGAGTCAATGACTCGACTCGAGTCCGACTCGAGTCCGACTCGAGTCACATTTTTTGGCGACTCGACTCGACTCGAGTCCCGACGGGTAAATGACTCGACTCGACTCGAGTCACTGCGAGCAAATGACTCGACTCGACTCGAATCCCTCATCAGAATGACTCGACTCGACTCGAGGAAGGCTAATAAGACTCGAGTCCCAAAATAAAAGCAAAACTTACTTGCGAAAAATATTTGCAATGACTTACGCTGCGCCGTTCGCGTTGCCAGTTTTTGTTCACGTCACGTTAATGTTCGCGAATAATGTACGTTTATATACAGCGGCAGTCTGTTTCCTTCCTCCATAATGAAACAACAAACATACACCGTG